ACTGATTAAACCCTGAAAAAAAAAAAAAAAAAATCAAAGGCATCTTCTATCAGCAATGTGCTTGCACTTTCTACTTGTTAAGATCAAACGAAAGAAATTGGTCTCTTAGGTCTTCCTGGACCATTCTGGATTCAGAAGTTTCAATTTCAGTGGTGTTCCCAGCCAGAATTCCTGCATCAAGCAATAATACTGATGCAAACTTCTAAGCACAAGAGTAGGACTCACCTGTTTACACTAGTGTACTCCTAATCTCACCGTATGTAAATTTCCTCTTTTTTAGAAGACAGCTAACAGTAATGCATACAATTAATTGTACAACACATTTTAATTTAACACGAACTGGACAACATCACCTAGTGTGCACAGTCCAGCCACTCCAAGTACAGATTCCAATTATTACATGAGAGCTAAGACTTTATGACATTTCCTACAAATGCTAATTAGCTGGTAGGTTAGGGCCCTCAGTCATGTAGCACTTCATCAATCACAAAGCTTAAACTATTAAAGATGGAAACTGTAACATTTTACATGAAAAGTTATGTTGCAAGTCAAAGTAGAATATTATATTAGCCTCCTTTACATGGTTTTCTTTTATAATAGTCCCCACAAAAGAATTTCCACAAGCTGTTGTCCTAATACGATCCAGGTCTACATCCTCCATGCTGTTCTCGTCTCAACAGCTACTGTTTTCAACACCGAGACTCATACTTCAGAGTATATAATTGCTTTTTAAAATATCTACGGATTCCTAGAGGAAAAAACACACCAGGTATAGCCACTGTATGAAAAAGAAAATTTGAGAGAAAAAAAGGACATGAAAGAATCATCATCAAGTTCAGCACTTCTGCCCTTCAGCCTACAACTCGGCCATATTCATAGAACTTGCACTTTCTGGTAAGAAATACATAAAGATTTCTGAGGTCTGCCCCTCTGCATGCTAAACTGACAGATATGAGGTGTAAGACTAGCTTTGCCAGGTTAAACAAGGCTATTAAAACAGCATACCCAACTTTACTGGCACTAAAATGGAACAGTGGTGCCAAAGATTCTAAAAGAAAGAAATATTAAGTAATATTGCACCTCTGACATTGACATAAGTTTATTATTACTCCATGCCAATCTACCTTGATCCAAATCCTCTAAACACATGCTGTTCCAGTGCTGGGCCTCCCTTAAGCCTGCAAATTATACTGAATAGTGTAGCGGTTTTTCAATTTGGTCAAAAGTTACACCAAAACCACTGCATGGAAGGACAATGCATCATTAGCTCATTATCTAGCCCATTACTTTTTTCTGCAACATGTTGCCTTATGCTTGTTCCTATGGCATCCCATGGAACTCACCACAGCTGTTTTGTTTCTTCCACACCTTTGGTAGGAGGCCCTCAACAGAACCTGTCCTGTCCTCCAAATATAAGAGCTACCCAAGAAAGAAGAAACAGCTCCAACTTTGAAAGGGAGCTTTTCTGGTTTTGGTTCAGTCTCCTTTGTATTTTCCAACACGGCAGGTAACAGTAATGTACACAAGAGAAAGAATATAGAATTAGAAATTGCACCTTTCCAAGTTACATATTCCTTCCTACTCAGTTTCAGGTTATTACTGACAAATATTTTTAAGCACTATATACAAATTCTTCCTTCTTCAATTACTTGAATACAGCCATTAAAACAAATATTATTTTAGGCTGAGTTAAGCACTTCAGGCTGAGTGGAGAGAGATGTAGCCATCTATCTTGCATCAACAAACGAAGGCACTAAAATAACCGGTTATTCACAAGTCCTCATATCAAAAGTAAATAAAAATGCAGAGATATAAAATTTGGCCCTGCACAGAAAAAAGAAAATGGAGACAAGCATTATAATATTACAGTAAGAAGAATCTAATGTCTAGAGAGAACTTAGAAGAACTAGAAGCAATTCCTTCACTTTCAGAAGGGTTTTCATGAGAGTAAGAAGGCAACCAGGGCAATGTCCTGAAAGAAGGTATGTAAAGGCAGGACAATCCACTTGAGGGCCCAGTAACTGTTTCACCTCCTAAGTGTCCCATGAAACAGTCCATGTTGCTTTCCACCCACTGAATTCTCCACATATATGTGCACGATGAGAACAAATTAATTTCTAAATGTTCAACACACAAATGTCTGGCTGCCACCACTTGAAGTGAAAACAATAGCAGAAGAAGTGGCCAAAAGGTCAGAAGGAGAAGACGAGCGAAAACTGGATGAATGCAAGAGGCACATGCAATCCAGCAAGGAGTAAAGGATAAAAGCATAATTAGATTCAAGTAAAGCATGAAATTACTGCACTCGACATATATTAAATACTTTTCCATCAAAATTTATTCTTATATATGGTTGCTATTGGAAACGTATGTTGTCAAAACTGGAAAAGAGGTACATCTGACAATCTTTTTCTTAAAGCAGAGCATCCACTACTAGACTATCTGAAAATCCCTGAAAAGTGACTATTCAAAAATATTACAATAAGAATACTACAGCACTAGGAATTACTACTATACATAGTCCAACATACATCTGAAATAACACATAACTGAATGAACAATCTGCCTATGCTCAAAACGGAGCTGTGTTCCCTTTGCCTTTGACAGAACATAAAGAGCCTATGAGGTATGAATACCCTGGGACACATAACTCCATGTAGTGAGGATAAAATTATCTAGAACAGAAAGGCACTAATGCCAGGAAAGCTTCTTGAAAAAAAGTAGATAGATATTGAACATCTTCCCTTCTACATGCAAATATTGTGGTCCAGAGAGAGATTGCATCTGCTGCCAAGGATGCTGGGATGCTCAAGAAAGCTAACCATGAGAAGCACTGCCAAAATGAAGTTGAACACTTGGGTTAACTAGACAAATAGATAATTTTTTTTTTTCTAGATGAATTTGAAAGCCTGGATTTATATTGGCAACAGATAGAATTTTCTACTTCAGAATTGTACACATGAAAAGTAAACAGTGAAATCATCCTTTATAATATCATACTCTAGATTTATTTAAATAACAGGGGTGAGTAGAGCAGGATGATATTTCAATAAAATTTTTCTCTAGTTAAATTATCTGTGAGTGAATTTATTTCCAAACATATTGGAAGTGAGGCACAAGTAAAATAATGCTAACATCTACATAGTAAGATAATGTGGTTATTAAAAATGCTTCAGAGAAGCAAATCTACACGTAACTTTTACGTGATGTAAATGAACTATTTTTCTCTTTCATTTATTTTAAGTAATCATCGTATTCCATTCTTCTCTAAGTAAACCCAGTATTTAGCCCATAGCAGAAAAACTGAACTTCAGAAGCCCCCTGATGAAGCATATTTACCAGAATAAAAACCTCAAAAAAAAATTAAGGTGCTATTTCCAGTTTTAAAGAATCAATTTAGTACTAACTCTGATTTTGCACCTAGTAGTTAGCAGGATTTATCTATCACATTGTATACTAGAGCTTACGAGGCTATAACATGCGTTTACTCTATGATTTAGTGAAGAGAGATAGTGCAGTTTGAGAGTGATTATTTTCATTAAGAGGCAGATGCAAAAGAGGCAAGACCACCTGCAAGCCCTAATAAAATAGCCATGATGTATCAAAACCAGAAAAACACACTATTTTGCATATTTCTGAGCACATAGCCATGACAGACAGTGCTGACAGCTCTGTGAGATGTTACATTCATCACACAATTTTGATTACTGAATCCACATTCCCCCTACTGATCTATTTCCTCAAGATCTAAAAACAAGACCAACTGTAAATTGTTGGTTTGTTTGGGGTTTTTTAGAATACAAACCATAAGATGTCCAAAACTAATTAGCATTCAGCAGAGGATAAAAGGCTTGAAGTTTGCTATCTTTACATCATCAGCATTGCTAACAAGGCAAATATTCAGAAATAAGATTAGAAGTGAGTGAGTACCTATATTCCAGTTTTGATAGGCCTTATTTCCTGGGCCTGAAAAAGCAGTCTTCTCAGTCTGTGGAAAATAAGGACTTGGCCTTTTAAAGACTGTATTGAACCAATTGTAGACAGAAGCACAGCTAGACCATTTGAATCCTACATGAATCCTGGAGGAAAACCACAGTAACATGAACTACCTACATAATAATAAAGAGTAAGGAGTAGACATTCTTTGAGTGGCTATAAATGGAGGGGAGAAGTAAAGTAAAGTAAAATGTAGTGGATGCCAGGAATTTTCTCTCCATTTATCTGTATGTTCCCAAGTGCATCTATATACGATAAAGAGTGATACACACAATATACACAGAACATACCTACAAGCATAAATATTTTTGTGAGTGTGAGAAAAAGTATATGGTAAATAAACACTCTACTACTGTATGCAGAACCCTTGCAGAGCTGCCTTTCCAGGAAATTCCCTCGCCACCCCCCCAAGTGGAAACTATAATGATTAAATCCAACTTCCCAGAGAGAGTAAATGCAGCTAGTTAAATTTGCAGAAAATTAGAAATACTACTAATAAGGTTGTTCAGAGAGAGCCTCCCTTCTTAATGTCTTTAGCTCAGAGGAAAAGCAGATAATTGACTTAATTTAGGTCCCTTCCTCCCCCCCCAAAAAAAGTCTTTAAAGAAAAAAAGCAGTGTCCTAATGTTTTACCAGTCCCACATATTTTATTCACGTTACTTGGAAAGAGTAGTAATCAGTGTTAGTAAGGGTAACAGAATCCCTCATGTTGAAGAATAAGAAGTTTAGTCAGAATTTTTAGGACTTTCATTTAACTCCAATAATTTTGTGGAAACTGCAGCACTTAATATTTTTGTGATACAATATAATTAAGATACAATACTATAGAAATGATCGCATGGAAAACAGTGACACATTTTATATTAGAGAACTACTTGACTATTACAGATTTACTCCTTGCATTTTTTTAATATATTAAAAGTAATATGCTATAAGAAATAAATATATTTCCTTTAAATGTGCCTCAAAAGTTTTACAACATATCCTTTCATCAGCAATCTTACCTTTTTTTGAAGGACATTAATTTTTCTTTCTTTTACTTCCAACATGTCTTTCATATCTCGAATCTCTCCAGCCAGGGTTCCTTTCTCTTCTGTGAGGTCTTGAAGTTGTTTTGTTTTTTTATTGAGAAAGGTTTCTTTTTCTTCCAATCGTAACCGCAAGGCATCAACCTACAATAAATCAAACATATTTAGGTTTTATAAAGATTACTAGTATATTTTATTTACTTTTTCTAATTCCCTTTTTTTTTGTTACTTAAGAAATGTTTTATTTCTTTTCTATGTAGATTTTCCAACTTTATCTTGGACTAAGATTGTTTTACCTGTTAAAATGTAATAAAAAATAAAAGCACTTTTTGCACCAAAGCATGAATAGAAATGTAGAGTAGTCAAAACATGAAATAGCATTAAAACAGTCCTAACTTGACATATGCGTAAGGGACTCAAAAAAAACTAACCACCTTGACTTGTTAAATATATAACTCAGTGAAAATAGTGTTCTGTATCCTGTTTTTATTTGCCCATTAAATCCATGTAGTGGGCAATCAGATACTACAGTCACTACACAGGTTTGGGCACAGATCAGTAATCTAGAAACATCTAGAATTATTTAACAAAGACACGTCAAATAGGGAAATGATAAGGTTCTTCACTTTTCTCCAGTGTATATCGCATAAGTCTCTTAACTAATGGGCCTTACTGTACTTTTCTGTAGTAAGCACAAATCCCTGTCAACCAAAATAAGGGATATTCCAAGGATTTTCCTAAGCAGAAACGGCTTAATAAAGAACCTCACCAAATTGCTCTGCATTACATAACTGCTTTTTTCTTTTAGAAACCCTAACAAAAATCCAAAAAAAAAGGAAAGGAAAAAAAAAATCAGAAGCATTCTAACAGCTCAGAAGGTGTATGTAGCCTTGATTTTCTCATTTCTTGCTGTATAAATGCTCAAGCACGCAATTTTATTGTTCCCTTAATGCAATTCAAACAGTTCTCAAATTATGGTCAGGCAAATACTTGCTGGTGGTCTGGAAAAAGTCCGTAGATCACTTGACACTGGTTACTATTTGTATACAGTTGTTTCTATAAGCAGCTCTACTGCTAATTGCAATTAAAAGCTTGGGTACTTATAAAAGCATTTGGAAATAAGGAGGAAAAATAGCTGACTCTCTTCCATTACAAGAGGTGTCAGGGGGGGAAGCAGCAGCCACCTTCAAGGACAGCAGCATAAATATTATCACCAAAAAAGAGAAAAACATTTGGTGAAGCAAGGAACAAAGTGGCGAGAAAAAGGAAAATCTAAATGACAAGGTACCTGGTTCAAGGAAATGGAGAAGGAGGGAACTGGCTCTTTGGGGAGTATAATCAAGAAACAGGAAAGTATGCACAATGTGAAAAGGCAGACATGGCCACAGCAGTAGGCGTATACATATGGATCCAGGTGGAAACACTCAAGCAATGTCAAAGTAAGGAAAGAAACAAAGACCTAGACAGGAAAGCAACTTTTTTCAAGTAGATTTAACAATCCTACTTCACAGCTTCAAATTCCTAGTACCTTTTTTAGTGATACCTTTCTACATAAGCACTGCCTAGCATAGTTACCACAAGGTAAGATATGATTCCAAACGGAAAAGGTGTTACTCTTCACACTGTGAAGAGGAGAGGAAGCAGTCACTGTCAGGATGCTCACTGATACAATCTTGGAGAACTTCTAATATACTATTCAGACTACTGGCTCTCAAGAACTTTCAAAAAGGTATTCAGAGTAAGAGATCTTGTCTCTAAACAGCTTCCTTAAATTAAAATATAATAATGGAATGGAATAAAGGAAAAACTTAAGTGGTCTTAAAGATACTGACTGTAGAAAGTAGGGGGTTCAAAATATGACGCATGTAATCTTTGCTGACCTTGATAATTAGCAAAATGAGAAAGTATACATTTCACTGAAATGGAAAGAGCAAGTAGCATTATTCCTACAAGAACGTTTAAAAAAGCATATGGAAGGGTGGGCTAAGTTGAATAGACAAATGCAGAAAAATTGTAAAGGGAAAAAAACCAGAAATTAAACTGAATTGAAATGTATCTCTAGTTTAAAATATTTACCAATTTCTTTGTCTAACCTAAAATATGCTGGGGACGGGCACTTAATTCACTAACACCAAAGAAAGAATTATCCATTACATAAATTCTATTCTTAATACCTTTGTAATAAAAGGTATTTTTGTAATAAAATAGTAGACATCTCTGTGCATTAAAGCAACAGAATATGTTTGGGTTTAACCATCAGTAAAGAGTTGCACCTTACATGCATTGATCCCTTCAGTGAGCACTTCCACTAAATCATACATCTTTCCACATTCTGGTTCAGAAATGCAGTTACAAATGAATCACTGAGCAGCTCACAAGCAACAGAGCATGGAGTACTGGGTGGGGATATTTTGGGGTAAAAAACAGATTTCATCACACATCAAGTTTTTAAAGACCAAAAGAGACACTTTTTTTTTAATCATAGAATAATAGAATCATTAAGGTT